AAACAAAGAAAGATAAGAGAAAATAATTAATTTAGACATCCTTGTTTATATTTTGTTAGACATTTAACAATATTTACTAAATTATTAAAGTAACAAAATCGTATCATCGTGGCGAGAGCACCCCCGTGCCCCCAAATAAGTTTTAAAAATAAAATAATAAATATGGTCTTCAAATTTCGAATAAAAACTTTCACAGATTTAAGTAATTTGATTGATCAACTTTTATTAAAGTTATAATCGACTGTGCAAAATCAAAACCTGTGCGAAATATTCATGTAAGATAAAAATAATAAGTACATCACTAACATATAATATGTCTATTTTTATTTAATAAAATCATAAGGCATTCAGTCAAAAGACGATATTTAAAATTAAAGATTTATCGACGTATGTTTTTTATGTGATAGCACGAGCAGCATATAGGAAACGAGCAGACGAAGAATCTGGTAGTTACGAGCAAACAGCACTGTCCATGGACAAACGTAACACCAGAAGAAGAGTATTGTCGGCTTTTTGCGCCCTTTTTTTGTGAGGGGAAAAACATCAACTTGACTTCTCCCGCCGCGGTGCCTCATTGCGCTAGCCCCGCAGCGCCGGCTGAGCGTCTGCTCAGCTACCTAGATCACCTCATGTTAAGTGATCATCGCCACTCATGGACAGGTGTCCAACCCGACATGGAGACTAGAAGAGTTAAGAGTCTTTGTTCCAAGTAATTGTAGTTATGTCTGATTATCATTTTAACATTTTTCAGTTATTTTTGCCGTCGGAAGTTCAGCTATAGCACCTCTTGCTATAGAATTTAACGTGAACCGACCATTTTACTTCATCGTCTCAGCTAATAAGGAGCAACTGTTTGCGGGAACAATACAAGATTTAAACTGAATTTATATTTTTATTAAATGTCATCTGATAATACGCTGGTTTATCCTTTCCGATACCTGTGTAATTATTATTAGCTATAACGAAAAAAGACGTAAGTTATATTTTTATTTATTGAAATAAAACAAATAAATAGTCACACAAAAGCGCCCAAAAGACTTCTTTTTCAGATAATACTTTAAACAATGAAAAAATGAATTTATTTTTGCAAATAGGCCATAAAACGGCACTTTTACACGTCAATTTATATGTAAAAAACTAGATGAAGCCGGCATTTCCTATCTGACTACTCTGAGAAGAAATGCCGAAACAAACTCAGAGGTCAGTCTCTTTTCAAGTCCAGACAATGTAAAAATAACATAATGTGGGAGAACCGTGCAAGTTGATTCTGTAGTGGTCTTTTGATGAAAGAACCACACCAGTTTAAGTGGGCCCGTTCTGAAGACAGGCACGCAAGTGTCAGTTTGCAGCCAGCATAGCAAGTGCTGCTGAGTTGTCCGATGAACAATACCGATCTAAAGAACATTTGGTTGGGTCGCGCAAGTACTCAAACTGTCAGAACGCAGATAACTGGTAGTCCAAAAGCGCGGCAAGTCTCACACGGTCCTTACACTAACAATAATAGAAAATAATAATAATGTCAATAAATAATTATAAAAATAATAAATAAAATAAAAAATGTCAAATAAAAATAAAAATGTAACAATAATTGTATATAAAAAGCGTAACTTATGTTACAAACATGTCAACATGACCTGTGCAGAAGTTACAGCGGCTCATTCCCAAGCCTGACTATCTTCTAAGTAGTCTTTTATTTTATAAAATGCTTTACAGTAAAGTTTAGCCTTTATTACACTTAAATTATTGAGGCTCAAATTTTGAATATCCCTAGGAATTTTATTGTAAAAGCGTATACATTGACATCTAAACGAACTACTTATTTTCTGAAGCCTGGAGGCGGGGACAACATATTTGTTTTTCCCCCTCGTGTTAATATTATGTATATCACTATGCTTCTTAAATAAGCTTTTGTTCTTATGAGCGTGAATTACATTTTCATAAATATATTGTGAGGGAACCGTCATTATCTTAGTTTCCTTAAATAATTCTCTGAGCGAATGCCTCGGACTAAGATTATAGATTGATCGAATAGCCCTTTTCTGCAGAACAAAAATAGACTGAATATCAGCAGCATTCCCCCACAACAAAATACCGTATGACATGATGCTGTGGAAATAACTAAAATAAACTAACCGCGCTGTATCTACATCTGTTAAATTTCTAATTTTTTTAACGGCATATGCTGCAGAACTGAGCTTCTTCGACAAGCCATCTATATGTGGGCCCCAATGGAGCTTGGCGTCCAGGGTTATACCTAAAAAGACAGCTGTATCTACAGGACTCAACTCCTCGCCCTTGACAAGCACACTGGTTTTTACCTGTTTAACATATTTTGGTGTTGTGAATTTAATACATTTAGTTTTAGTTTCGTTTAGTAATAAGTTATTAACACCAAACCAGTGAACTATTTCTGAGAGAGCACTGTTTACATTGTCAATAACTAATTGTCGTCGTCTGAGTTTGAATAATAGTGAGGTATCATCAGCAAACAGCACTATCTCGTGTCTATCCCTTACAAGGTAAGGCAAGTCATTAATATAGATAAGAAATAAAAACGGGCCGAGAATAGAACCCTGCGGAACATCCATCCTCACAACAGATCCGGCAGAAACCACTCCGTTTACTTCAACTCTCTGAACCCTATTACTCAGGTATGAGGTAAGAAGGTCCAGAGATGCACCTCTGATTCACACAATCGAACGCCTTAGATAAGTCACAAAATATTCCCAAAGCGTCGCTTGAGTCCTCCCACGCGTCGTAAATGTGATTAAGAAGTTCAACACCGGCATCAGTTGTTGAACGACCCCTTGTAAATCCGAACTGTTTCGCATGTAATCATTTATTTCTATTAAAAAAATCTTTGCATTTGATCTAAAATATTTTTTTCAAAAATTTTACTGAACGTAGGTAGCACTGAAATCGGTCTAAAGTTAGTGGGGTCAGAAGTACTACCTGATTTAAATAATGGAATTATTTTACTACATTTCATAAGATCAGGAAACACACCACAGTCAATACAGTTATTAAAGATTTGAGCTAATACAGGTGCTACAATAGTTATTACAGAGCTTGTAATATACACAGAATTACCCCATAGATCTGCAGTCTTTTTGTTATTCAAAGTATTAAAGATTTTAACAATTTCTTTGTTATCTATGTGCTCGAAGGAAAACCCTGAATCGCAAGCTACAACATATTTTTTGAGTAAAGACTCTGCAACAGTGGGAGATGAATTCAGTGACTTAGTAGTGGATACAGGAATGTCGGAAAAGAAATTTTCAAAAGCAGTTGCAATTTCTATATCCGCTTTTATTAACTTATTATCAATTACAAGACTATGTTAATTTATTCTCTTTTTAGACCTTCATGCCTCACTGTTGATAATATTCCAAGTGTCTTTTATAACATTGGTACTGTTCTTTATCTTAGAGCTTAAGAATAGTGATTTAGCAATAGAGCAAACCTTTTTGAATAATTTAGAATAGTTTTTTACATATTCACTGAATTCAACAGTGTTAATATATGTCCCCTCATTATAAAGCTCATAGAGGCGATTTCTACTCTTATAGATACCAGTGGTTGCCCAATCACCGAAAGACGCATTGCTATTCGCTGGTATAGTTTTATCTGTAAAAGTAGACTTAAACTCTGTTAGGTACATTTTAAAAAACTTATCATATAAAGGGTTAGAATTCTTATAATTCAACAACAAAGGCAATTTGTTGCTGAGGTTAGCTTTGAAAAATTCAATGCGTCTTTTAGTCTTCGGATTAACTGTGATAAATTGTTTTGACACTATATTTATTTCATTTGTTAAAGAAATTAACTGACCACAATGATCGGAATCAAGTACTGAAATTATTTCTTTGTTAACTGGCACAATGTCAGTATAAATATTGTCCAGGCAAGTGGCACTAGTGGGTGTTATCCTAGTTGGCTCCAGAAACAAATTCGCAAGGTTGTATGAAGAAAATAAACTTACAATTTTTGTGCTTAAACTACATTTTTCTAATAAATTTATATTAAAATCACCACATGTAATGATGGATTTCTTTGAATTTGTAAGTTTACTTAGATCTTCATCCATTACTGTTTCAAAACAGTCATACAAACCAGAAGGTGGTCTATACACGCTTAATACAATAAACCGCTCCAATTCCTCACAGGCTATTTCAACAGTACGCTCAACAGAGTAACTAACTATATCTTTGCGATCTTTGAATTTAAGCTGATTACTTATCAGTATAAGTGACCCACCATGTATAGCGTTTTCTCTGCTGAACGAGCTACCAATCTGGTGCTTACCAAAATTGAACATGAGCTGATGGGGTTTTAACCAATGTTCAGTAATACACAAAATATCCACATTATTACAATTTAAAAATAACTCTATTTCCAATTCTTTACTCATAAAGCCTTGAATGTTTTGGTGAACCAGATAAATAAACTTATTACTGTTTAATTTGCAAGAGGTTGTCTCTATTGTCTTATTTAATAATTTAAAATATTATGAATGTCAGTATTAGGTGACTCATTATGAATGTCAATATTTTTTGGTTGCTCAATAGGAGTAACCTGTTTAGCCAAGTTATTGGCTGATATATTAAAAAAATATGATAGCGACCAATTATATATTTATTTCAATTAATACTTTAATTTAATTCTAATTCTTTATTGACCTAATAATTACATTGTTAATAATTGAATCCTTGACTGATGAGCTAGTTAAAAAGTATATTATAGGAGCCAGTATATCCCCCATCATACATTATACAAATATATCAAGAACACAATAATAATATGATACGAAAAGGTATGATAAAACAATATAATAATACCTAATATAAAAATGCGATTTTTTAAATTGTAATCTGTTTTTGTGGTAATTGTAAGTCAAGAGCCTTTACCAAGCACGGGTTATTCCTAAATTTCAACTCAAATGTCATGAAAATGACTTAACCAATGTTAAAGATACTTTTTGATTGTACGGATGGCGCGGATGGTGCAGCGCAACATGTCACGGGTTCGATTCCCGCACGGAACAACTCTTTGTTATCCACAAATTGTTGTTCCGGGTCTGAGTGTGATGTGTATGTAAAATTGAATGTTTTTACATGCACTCACGACACAGGAGAAAATACTAGTGTACCAACGTAATTTTTAATGAAAACAAAAAAATAGGAAGAATTTAATTGGTGGTCATACGCAATAGGTACATGTATATCAAGAAACTTAATAAGGAATAATTTTGAGGAAGAGTTTAGATATGTAAGTGGTAAGATGCAATTTCATGTTTCTATGCAAAGTGTGACGAATATACGCGTCTGACTGAACTGATCACTTAAAGAAGATTTTTAAAATGTAGGTACTTAATTAAGTTTTTAGAAGCGGATATAACTTTGCATCAAATAAAGAGACTAAAATTTCTTTAATTTTATTTTTTTCTTCTTTTCTTTTATCATTTTACACAAAACAAAAAAAAAATATGTAACTAACATTCGTTGGAAGAGGTCGTTGACCAGTAGCAAAAACTATTGTAAAATTTTTGTGACATCACTGCTTTTGAAGAACAGGTATAAAAAAATATGTAATAAGCGATGTATGTCCATTTTCTGCCACTTTTTTTGCAAGTCTCATGTCTCATCTCAGTCTCATGTATGTAACTGGACTGAGCCTAATCTTTTATCAAAATATCAAAACTTTGGAATGATCTTTTGACGACGGCATTTCTGAACCGATACGACCTTCAAACACCCAAGAAACGAGCGTTCTCCTTCTTAAAAGGCTGACAACACGTCTGATATTCCCCTGGCGCCGCAGATGTCCATGGGTGGCGCAGATTACTTACTGTTACTATTCTTTTCCCGATATAGAACTTGAACCAGCTGCTAGGCAGTCAGCACCGTAAGTGCGAGAGGCAGTATACTACTACCGATGGGGCCCATCAGGGTTAATGTCAGCTGGGGTTGAGGGGAAATGCAATAACTTATTGCGCTATCCAAGAAGGTACCGCTACCCCGGCTTGGAGTAGGAGAAGGAACGGGGGTTTTTAGTCAGTAAGAGTCTGACACTCCCTCTCGCCTCACCCTGTGCGAGAGAAACCACTTGATAATTTTCACAAAAATACTGTTAGTAATCTGAACTTGAGGCATTGATATTTTTAAACAATAGTAGAAACTTTTTCGTCCCTAAAACCCTTAACATAAATAATCTTATCGAAATAGTTGGAGCCGTTTCCGAGATCCTGTTAAATAAACGAGGTAATCTTGAACAAACATTCGTAGATATCGTAGGTATTATTAATCGTATAGGTATTATTTATTTATAATTATAATTATAAATATATATATCTTAATAAACATGGGCATAAGTTCCGTTTCAACTCCGAAACACACATGCGCACTAAACGTATACAGGGTGGAAGTAACTTTCATTCATCCCTCAACTCAGTCGTATGCCGTTTGTCGTTGGGCTAACACCTACCCAATCGTGCGCGCGGAATCGAAAACTTTTACGTATCACACGAATCTGTAATAACAGTTTTATGATAATAGTGAAGTGACATCAGCCTGTATACAATCTTTGTGCTAAAGTGAAGGATCAATGGATGCGAAAATTTTGTGTAAAAAAAGTGAATAAATAAAATGTAAAACTTTTTAAGCAGTAATGGAACGCGATGCCCGCGTTATTTCAGTTGTTTTTTTAAATAATCGGAAAAGGAATAAGTTTATAAATGGAAGTGAATTTTTTTGTCGGCCTTATTATAATATTAGTACAGTTCCAACTAGTTTTATATGTAAAAGGAGAGAACTTTGCCGAAAGTGAGTACTTTTTTTACGATTCTATTCTCAAGTTAAACATTAAAAAGGTTGTTATTATTTTGGTTGATTTGACTTTGAACTGACTGTAAATATAGCATTTATTTTCTTTCTCGAGGACTCAAGAGGATGGGTGTCTAATGTCTCAATAGAACAGCGTAATGATTTTGATTAAGTGATAGATAAACAAAATCATTTAAACAACTTATTTTAGCAACACATACCTACATAAGTTGAAAACATACAAAAATTAATATATAATAATATAGTGTAGCAAGGGGTCCATCTCAGTATATGCTGTGCTAATGCACAGCCCTAGTTTTTCAGATGGCACCTGACCCTCCTTGAAATAAAAATACATATTTAACTACATTTGACAAAAAAGAAAGTAAACACCAAACATATAATTTCAGGTTCTTTTGTCATTTGTCCTCTATCTAGATTATCTTTAAGTCAAAGTTAAAGGTAACCCCAGTTAGCCAAATTCACTACGTTTCATTTCAAAAGCTTAAAATTAAAGACGTGCTTCGTGTATGCACACGTGCGAGATACTTGATGATTTCTTCATGAAAAAAATCCTTTTGTTCCGAAAACAGTTGCTAAGTAGTCATTCAAAGATACATTTATGGCTCGATGGTTTTAAAATAAATTAGGAGTTCATATTAAAAATTATTACATACTATTGAATAACGAATGTCAGTTAAAAGTTAATGTACATTTTGGACAAGATATAAGAGACTTAACTTTGTGTTTGATATATGTACATTTTTATTTTGAAAAACTAAAAAATAGTAAAGAATTAAAAAAAATATGTCATCAAAATTTTATTGTAGATTCTCACCATCGTACAGATGATACAGTAAAAAAGGACCTCAAAGATGAAAAACCCCCAGAAATGATAACAAATCATCAAACTATTCATGAGAGGGATTACTTCCTACCTCCAGTTTTCACCGCTGATGATAATGAAGACGAGGAAGATGATGATGATGATACTGCATACTTAGATTATGACTATGACCCTAAAGAATCTAATTATAAAGATTCACCAGACTTGGCAACGTCTGGAACGGACACACAAGACATTCCCTCTGTTGATGATAAAATACCTCTGCACACTGCAAAGGACAATCTCCCTATCTTCTTGTTGGAGCCAGAAAACACATATGTTGTTAAAAACAAACCAGCTACCTTAAAATGCCGAGCTGCTAACGCTTTAAAAGTAAGTTGTTGATGAAATTATATTAATATAGTGAATGTTTGATATTTTCTTTACAAGGTTAAAAGAAATCGGTCGCGGCTTTAATATTTTATTTATAACTTTTGCTTAGATTACGCATATTAAATAAATATAATAAACATATTTTTTTACTTATAAAAGTCAGCGTGACTTATAATTTACTTATAAAGAATTATATTTAATAATTATCAGATCGCAATTTGACTTTGAAAATCAATAATGCAGCGAAATTGCCATTTTTGTTTGTAAATTATGATGTAAATTACTACATATATTTATATCCAGGTACAATTTAAAAAATATTGCGAAATACGTATTCAATACATACGTATAAGTAAATAAATAAATAGGTAACTGTTAAAATATTTCTACAAACATTTATTTTCCATTTAAAGGTATTTTTCAAATGCAATGGCATACAAACTCAAGCGTTAAATTTCGAGTTTGTTGACCCTCAAACTGGAGTGCGGATAATTGAAGGAGAGTGCAAAGTGACGAGGGAGAACGTTGAGGAGTACTTTGGGAGTGACAAGTATCAATGCACTTGTTTTGCTTGGACCAGTCGTGGGCATATACGAAGCCAACCAGCTACTATCGAACTGGCGTGTAAGTATAAATAAATTTTATACCGGCTTGAAACAATATTTAAGTTTTGTTTAGCCGTGTTACTAAGGTTACCGGAGGCCCAATCCTTCTGCCCCTATCCTCAATCTCCAAAAGTCCTTTCCTTAACTAGGAATCCTACTAATCGACAAGAGCCTGACTACACACTTTTAGTAACCTCTTTGGTATTACCAGTGTCCATGGGTGGCGTCGATTGCTTACCAATTGGAAATCCGTCTGCTCTTTTGCTGATCTATGCTATAAGAAAAATATTATACGTTTTCACGGCTGTGTTGTTTATAAATTAAACAACACAAGTTATAATAATGTTCTATCTATTTCAAACGAGCTTCTGCCAGCAGTTTCGCCCGTGTTACAGGGAAAAAGTACCCCATGTGTAATAGCAGATTCTAATCTCTATCTGTGCCAATTTTCATTAGTCCATTCAGTACGTTTTTACGTAATTAAAAAATGTAACAAACATCTACTCCTACAAATTTTCGAGTTTGTAATTTTAGCAGGAATAAGGATATACATACATATAAACTTTTAAAAATAGAATAGCGTGTTAATTATTTATTGAAGCTGGCTGGTTTAAAAGTTAGGTTTTTTTAAATATGAAAGAACAATTTTAGTCTGTATATACATTATTTCAAATTACTTATAAAATTTCTATATAAAAATTAGGGTACAAAATCTTCAAAATATTTTCTCCCGCCCTATGTAGCACAAAATGGAGTTTTGGACTCTTCGAACTGGTATGCACATTATGCACATCTTCGCGATTACACCCGCAAAGAAATTAGGACCTTAATGTAGCCATACGTGTAGATATAAGATAAATATTGCAATGTATTTAAAACATTGACCTTTTAGGCTACGAAAATACTTTCTTTGAAACAGTGTATAGTTTCCATACCAGAGTTAATATTTTGGCAAGCAGCCAAATATTGATTATTTTGGGACCTTCGTATGTACTACATAAGTTAAAGAAAGCTACGTGTTTGGGACATTATTTGTAACAGTTTCTATATTGTCTATAGTAATGTAGGTATTATAATGTTTTTATTATTAAAAAGCAAAAGGTTTGGAATTGAAAATATATTTTTGTGTTGGATAGTTACTCCATTTATTGAGGAATGCTATAAAACATCATAATACGATCAATAGCAGCCAAGCAACTGATGAAACCTGAAGTTCTATCATAAAATAATACATGACAAAAATTACCTTAGCTATTTTGGTGTTTAAATCTAAGCTCAGACGGCAAATTAAAAATCGGCCCTAAGGACCACTTGTGAATTGGCCTTATAGTGTATCCTAATCCCAGTCATAACTTAGCAGTCAGATATCGGAATCAGGGTTTCATTTACTCTTTTTAACATTCTGACTAAATGATCTTTTTTTGTGGGAGGAATATCACATCAAATCTCTCTTGCCCTGGGTGTTTCGAGGGGGAATGACAGTTTTTTTGACTAAAAACCATCCCGCTCTTCTTTTGCTCCTGGGCGAAACCGAGGTTAAGTGGTAGGGGGGCCTATCTAAGGTGGCCTGTAGGTTTTTAGAGGCGCGCCCGAAATGCGACGCACTATACGTTCAGCTAGAAAGGTACGGTACTGTTTGGGCGACGAGCTAGTTCACCGTCCGTAGACAGTCGCAAAATAAAATAAATTAGTTATATATTAACAAAAATAGCGACATTCGTAATAGTAATATTTCTTCTAGATATAAAGAAACATTTCACCTTGGCTCCTCAATCGCAAGTTGTAAAGCAGTATACATCGGTAACGTTCCGCTGCGAGCCACCACCAGCCGCTCCCTTCGTTCAGATCTATTGGCTAAAGAACGGAGCCCCAGTGGTCGAGGATGAAAACGTTCATGTGTCCAATGAAAGAGATCTGTATATTAAGCAAGCTTCGTTATTGGTAAGTTTTGTAACTGAAATTAATTTTAGTTCAGTTACTTGTAAGAACTTTAGAAAATGTTATGGTGGTTGATGCTTTTCCACGTACCTACTTGTTTGTGTATTTAACACAGTCAAATTAATTACATATTTCAAGTTTGTAATTGAAATAAAAAAGGCTTTCAAATATAGATTTGACAACTTAGGTACCCACTTAAAATTCGCACTTTTCTTGATTATTTAAAAAAAATTAGTCTACTATTTGATACAAAGAATATGATGTTACAAGTTATAGTCCCGCACAAAATTCACAGAAACCTACGGATTCGATTTGAAAATTCTAAAAGAGTGTTGAGCAATACTCAACTATTTTTTTTTGCTAGCGGCCGTTTTTGCAAAACTCTTGCAGCAAAGCAGTCTGTTATAAGGGATTGGTAGTCTATGCACGATTTCTCATACCAAACTATCAAATCTCTATAATATGATCGTTTACAGGAGAATGAAACCTCACTTGAGTAAAATAATAAAAAAAAATGTTCTCTATTTGAAAAGTTTACAAAGTAAAAGAGTAACAATGAAGACACGTCAGTTTCACATGAAACTTCCTGAAACGAGTAAATAAAGTAGTGAATTTAACGGGCACCGTACTCGGACAGATTTCAATTGTGAAACAATTTTCAGGACATGGCGAACTACACATGTGTCGCTGAAAATTTAGCGGGGAAACGGATGTCTGAACCAGCCTTGCTGACTGTGTTTGGTACGTACGAATTTACGAATTTCATCTGAACTCGTTTGGTTTTTTTATTTCCTTATAAAGTTGAAGCAATTTTTCGGGTCTCTTATTTTCGGTTGAGGTTTTGTGTGTCCATAAATTATTCTCCAGTTTCTAGAATTGGTAGCAAGTGATAGTTATAATAACTGATTTGGATCGTCGAAAAAACATGAATTCGGCAATAACCATTCCCATTGTGGATATCTTGGTACTACAATAAGCTAATTAAGTGATTCAAGCGAATTTTCGTCACTTCTATTTACACATTAGAGATGTAATTTTATAGTTCTTTTAGAGATACCTAGGAATAATTATGACCGTTGTCCTTTCTGTAGTGAATGGTGGTTGGAGCCCATGGTCAGCTTGGGTCGACTGCTTTTGTAATGAACAGGGAAGAGAGGCTCATTCGGGGAGGAAAAGGGAGAGAACTTGCACGGCTCCTCGACCTTTGAATGGAGGACAACCGTGCATGGGACCTAATGTACAGAAGACTCAGGACTGTATTGATTGTGATTTAGGTATGTTGATAATAGTTTTAGGAAATATAATTAATAATTTTGAACTAATGGTACCATGTTTAGAATTGATTCTGCTTTTGAAACACTGCCGTGCAACGTGTCGCGGGATCGATTCCCGCACGGAACAACTCTTTGTGTGATCCACAAATTGTTGTTCCGGGTCTGAGTGTGATGTGTAAGTGAAATTGTATGTTTGTTTGTTTATAAACGCTTAAAGGATTTTAAAGTTTGGGGCAACGTTATACTAAAAAAAAAACACGAAATTTATGATTTTTTCCGAGACAAAAATAAATTAATATAGTAAAATATGTTTTATGAATTAATACAGAAACTCTTTTAATTATACTTCTGTGACTCATATAGAATAATGGATGGGACTTGAATAATAATTGTTTTTCTCATATCTAGATGAAATAGATGAGTTGGCTGATGAATCACCGGATTTGTTGTTAGGTAAGCTATCATTATTTTCTATTGTTCCTTAGAAATTTCAGCTCTCCTATAAACTTAGGTATAGTTTTAGTGTTATTGTTTTTTTCCTGTTTTATATTAAACCGTATTTGTTTTTCAAAATTGCTTTGCTTTCACTTCTTTTTCGTTAGATATTTTTTTCAATTTGTGAGACTTGTATTTCCTTGTTTTTTTTCTATTGTTGACTGCCCGGTTGACGCACTGGTTGAGCAAAGAGTCTCGGGTCTAATTCTAACACGGAGCAACTCTCTTTGTGTGATCCACAGATTCCGAATCTGAAAGTGATGTATATGTGAAATTGTATGTTTGTAAATGCATCCACAACATTGGAGTAAACCTAAGAGTAAGGCATTCTTTTTTTTAGAAGAATTAAAAATAAATGTTCTTAATATTTCTTTAGGACGTTGGTCCCAATGGTCTGAATGGTCCAGATGTGACTTGGACTGTCTTCGAACTAGGAGGAGACGATGTCTGTCTATCAATGCCTGTCGAGGAATAGACTACCAGGTGGCACAATGCAATCTCTGTGTCAGGACTTCTAAAAGAGAAATTAATGATGGTAAGCTCTAATTCTAATATTTCTTTTTAAGTATATAATATACATTTTTGTAAATATTCTTAAATTAATTAGAACATAATTATGACATACTTACATAAAATATGAGTCCTGGTACTACAAGTTGAGCTTGTCTCGAAGGTTCGAGTAAGTCTAATGTTAATATACATATATGAATGTGATCGGTGAACTTTAACACTGAGGATATAATTATGGTGCTATAATCCATTACTTTCATAAAATAAATCAAAATGAGAAATACAATTTTTGATTGGGTCTCATTAGAAGTCCTAAAAACAATCATCCCGATAAAAAAGAATGCAATTGTATTTTTAAGGATTATTATATTGGTTATTAACAAAAAATGCCAGTCATCTAAACTAATATTATAAATGCAAAAGTAACTCTGTCGGTCTGTCTGTCTTTTCTTTACGCCTTAACTACTGAACCTATTTGTGTGAACTTTGGTATATACATAATTTGGAACTCAAGAATGGACATAGGGTAGTTTTTAAAACAAAAATCTGGAGGAAGTCACTATACCACGCGAACAAAGTCGCGGGCATATATTTCTTTTTAAAATTTACTTCATATATTTTTTGCAGGATCATATTGGCCTCTATTGATAGCGTTATCGATAGCTCTCATGATTTTCGTAGTCGTTGTTCTATTGGGAGTCAAGTATATTAAGATTAAAATGAGCAACACTTCTCCGTATGTAAAACCACCTTCAGGTATGCAACTGTTTGTACTTATGTATTTTTTAAAGCAAAAACAATGTATCTAACTTGAAATTGATTAAACAAAGATAATTACAAGATTTTAGTATATAATCTATATATTATTATCTTTTTAAACCATAATATGTCTTGATTAATTACTGAAAAATTTCTAGTGACTTTACTAATGCTGTTGTTATCGATCAGAAAATAGTTTTCCCGTAAATTATGTATGATTAACAGAAGAAAAGTACAAAAAAATATTATACAAGTACGTTTTGGACATCAAATTGTAACAAGAGTAAAGAGAAATATTATATTTCCATAAGACACAAAAGAAAAAAAAATGAGCCTACAATTTTCTTTTACTTACAAAAAAACTTACATCAAATAAAATATCTAATACAGGTTCGAATTACTTCGGTAACGTAATAAAGAGGACGCTAACCAATCAACCGGACTTGACTATACACGAAGAGTTCCAAACTATTGATTCTCGAAGGACACACAGACATACGGGCACATCTACAAATACTCGCCATGAACATCTGTACGAAGTACCACAGCTAGCTAACAGGTAAAATGTTAAGGATTATTGTTAAGATGGAAGGACCAAGTTGGTCCTTAGAGACGCAATTAGCTAACTAATTGGTTGCCTAGGGAATTTGCACTTGGTTTAAAATAGTTTGTATAATGTAAATGAGAAGTATGAATTGAGTGTTTTTTTAATTAAGTTAGAAGTTGTGTGTTGACGTTATTGTTTGAGTTTGATTGGGTAATTTTGCGATTGCAAGAGTTCATCGAAATTATTTTTATAATTTGGTAAAGTTTATGGATAGGATATCATGTTTGATTATGTTTGCTATTTGACACTTAATGGGTATATTGAGATAAATAAGACCAAAGTTTTCAATAATGAAATACAAAGTTGTAAAAAAATTTTTTGAGTGTTTCAAAAATATCGTCCTTAAAATTTGTAATACAAATAAAGTCCTTTTGAGGAAGCATTGGCAACACGTGGTGCTATGTTGAAAAGAGACTATGTTAAGCAATTTGTTTTAATAAATCTTTCATTTACAGCTACATCACACCCATAGACCACGAGGTAAGAAATGACAGAAATGGAAGCGAAAGGAATTACGCTTGCAAGGACAGCGTCGAGTCAGACCGATCTGACTCCAGTTGCTTTTTGAGCTGTGAGTTTTTCTATGCACCTTCGCGAGGCACCAGATTGCGAAATACTATTATTTAAAATTAAGTTTAATTTGAACTTTACAACATAACTTTAAGATTGTTTTATACTTAAGACTGACTTTCACAATCACATGCCTCTTAGCTTCTCCTCGCTGTAATAAACTTTAACTTTCTATCGTAAAATAATAAGATAAACTATTTCTTCCAGCCGGCTCATCGTATGGCAATGAAAGTGTAGAAATATCACAGTCATTGGTAAATAATGCATCAGTAGATTCAAAGTTCTTTGCCAAGCAATTAGAAGTAGCTACTTCAAAAATAGTAACACCAGACGGTGATTGGCTGAATCTTAATAAATGTGGAGTAAGCCTGTTCGTTCCCGATGGAGTGGTGGAAAAGGGCGAAGAGTTATTCTCGATTGAGGTCGCAGACGACGACTGGAATAGGCCACTGCTGCAAGAAGGTAAATTCAATTTAAGTTTAGGCCTATTGACCTGGATAGGGAATCGAGATCGGATCGCTAGATTTAGATTGGGTTTTAAATAGATCTTAGTTTACATTGAAAGTGAATTTAACCGAGGGTAAACATTATAAAACCAATTACAAATGTTCTACGAGACAATTTTCTTCGCGACGCATGCTGTTGTTTTGTAATCAAAGTAAAACGTTCAATTCAAAATACGAAAGTACTTTTACTTGTTTAAACAAACACGTTAAACCCCAAACTCTTAGAGAAGCAGCTCTGAACTCAAATCAACACCTGCAACAAATAAAGCCCGCGTAAGAAAGTTGTGTTTAATATTAAACTTGGCCATTCTGAGAGTTGGAACTGAAGTGGGATTACACTGAGCCGTGGTCTGACCTAAATCTCAAATGTCAGGTTATTCTGACCTATAAGTTGTTCCGCCTCGTCGTAACCTACCGATGTTATTTCGGAGCCGGGTCACGATTGATTGCCTCGAAATATGTTACATAGTTAAATGAGTACCTTATTAGATATTCGGGGATTACGAATGTTGTATTCTATCTATTATGGAATTCGACCGACGTTGTTGGAACTAAACTAGTATATCCTTATACATTTAAATAATTTATTAGTTACCATTGTTTTACTAGATAGTAAACCCATAAATCATGTATGAACCGATTTTCTCTTTTGTAGGTGAGACCCAACTAAGTCCAGTTATACGGTGCGGACCCAAAAACTTTCACTTTTGCAAGAGTGTGGTCTTGTCCTTTCCACATTGTGCAGCTTTGAAGAACACCAGCTGGTTTCTATCCATCCTCCAAAGGCCCGAAGAAATCAACTCGAGGGAGTGGCGGAAAGTTTTGACTTTGGGCCAGGAAACGCCCGGGACCCCTCTGTTCGCACAAGTCGACCCTTCCAAAGTTTACCTAGTGAGCGAATTTCTAAGCGACTTTGTTCTAGTCGGGAGAAGTTTCAGCGGTCTAGACGCGAAGTTGTGTAAAGTCGCTTTGTTTATATCTAAAAGAATGGACGACAGTTACTATAGTTTGAAGATTTATGTGTTTCACGATACGCCTTACGCTTTCTACGACTGTTTCGAAAGTGAAAAGAGGTCAGGTGGCTCTTTACTCTGTGATCCAAAAACGTTATGTTTTCAACAGAATTGTTCTGATTTATGTATTAATATTAGAGATGTGGGAGTGGGTTGGAAGATACATTCCGGGGGGAAATACCAGGAACTGTCGTACTCCCAAGTGTGGGATATGACAGTGAAACCTCTGAATTGTATATTTGTGTTGCAACAAACGGATTCAATAAACTGTTTAGAGTTAAACGTTTCTGTTTACCAGAAACAGAAACAAACGAATTCTATCAATTTTAATTTCAAGACGAACGACTTGAACTTTAGTGTGAGTAGTAAGAGATTCAGTTGTGCGAGTGTAGAGACTGTTAATATATTAGAGAACCCGTTCAATTATTCCTCGTTGAGTAAGAAGGAGGGGAGATACGACTTTGTGTATAAGCATCACAGCGTTAGGAGCTATTTTAGCGTTGACAATAATTATCGGACTAATGTGTTGACCAAGTCGGATAGAGTGATACTGTGCAAACTGTTGGACTCTCAGTCTGTGAAAGGTAACGACTGGAGGTTGTTGGCTGAGAAATTAAATGTTTGCTCTTTCTATTATTATTTCTCGAATACTTGTTCTCCAACGGAAAATATATTGAACTTATGGTTGTGTAGGAATAATGACGTGAACATGTTGGTCAATTTGTCGAGGATATTCAGGGAAATGGGTAGGATTGATTGTGCAACAGTAGTTGAGAGACGTTGTTTCGCCAACTGAAGGGTAAATATAAAGGAACATCAAACAATCGCCGAGTTTGAATAGAGAAAGATTTTTGATTCTTATTGAGTTGTTTCGTGAAAATATTTTGAATTTGCTTTCGTTTACGTCATCATTGTTTCGTTTGAAGATTTAAAAAAAAACTTCTACTTATTATATTTCTATTGTTTAGTTATAATTGTTAATTTTCTTTGTGTTTTGTTTTGTTTGTTTAACTTTGAATTTCAGTGGTTGACGTCTATTCAAATTCAATGTTTGATATTACGAAGTAAACAACGCTATTGTTTTTTTTTTTGCTTTTCATTGCATAATATTTTCATTAGATTCCTTAATTACCGCACATTACCGCGAGAATATTTATTTTTAGATACTTAAATGGTTTAAAATGTTCAACACATTAGCTGGCCCTCTGTTTTATACACGCAATGAACTTGTTTTAGCTATGGAATGGATTGTCAAATTATTTTGACTTGTGAATTAGTTATCTAAATTATCGTGAGACGTATTCAATTATTATTATTTATTTAAAATAAGGTTACTCGACTGGTTTCAAACCATATCAAGGGCGCATACATCCAAACTAATATTATAAATGCGAAAGTAACTCTGTCCGTCTGTCTTTTCTTTACGCCCAAACTACTAAATCTAATTGTGTGAAATTTGGTAGGTACAGACATAGACAAAATATCGAGAAATGATATAGAGTAGTTTTTAAATAAAAAATCTACAGGTAGTCACTATTGCACGCGAACAAAGTGGTAGGCAAAAGCTAGTAGACTATATCGATAGACCATTAACGTCTTGGCTATGCGAGATTCAATGCTTCAATTATCGTGAATGCTGCTTATAATTTGTATAAACCGATGTGATACAACGCACCCCCATCTCTTCTTAATCTTTAAAACCACGCAACCCATATCCCCAGAAGGCCAGCAAGTCCCTCGTAACTCCTCAGGTGTAATGGGTGTCCATGGAGGCGATGGGGCGATGCCGATTGTTTTCTACTAGATAACCTGTTGTTCGTTTATCACATAGAAAAGTTAAAATTAACCCTGGGCCCCTGGAATGGCTTGAAATTTGTCAAACATTTACAATAATAAGCGCTATTAAAATAATTTTATAGCTAAAACAAGTAAATTGACTCTTTATAACACAGAAAATGTTTAAAATTACTTAGGAAAGCTTATAATTATACTAAAGAGTATGTTTGAAAAACATTATTAGCTGTATATAAATAAATATGTATTAATGAACCAAATAGATACTGTATTGTTTAGATAAGAAAATTAAGTAGTGATTTGAAAATTTTGAAATTAAAAGTAAACATTTGGAAATGTGTGTTTTGTTTATTTATTTGTATACATATTATATAACCCTACGTTTGAAAACATTCGTTATTTTATAGTTCTAAAATGAAAATAAGGTAAAACAATATTATTTTGATTTTCCTGTTCTTAGAATTTTTGAGTATTACAAAGTAATCAAAGTTTTTATTAAAATAATCCTTTGAAATAAAACGTTGATAGATATTTTGAAAACACTGCGTCACACCTTTTCAGCCGGGGTTGCGGGGTAAGCGCAATGAGGCACCGCGACCAGAGCAGGAGAAGGAACGGGAGGGGGGGGATTTGGTCAGTAAGAAGAGTCTTAGACTCCCTCCCGCCCGGCCCTGGGCGGAAGAAGTCATTAGATGATTTTCTCCTCACAAAAAAAAACCTTTTATTTTTTTTATGAGTAATAATTAATTAGGATGACCAATTTAATAATATAGAGACGGCTCTTGGAGTAAATTAATAATAAAAAAAAAAAACATTATTATACAGAGATTAATCAGAGAACAGATTCATTTTAGAGTACTTGAGTTGAGCTTGAGTCTTAAAACACAATTTTGTGTATAACATTTATTGTAAAAAAACAACCTAATTCACAAAATATATTGAAGAAATCTATAAACGTACCTTATGACTAAGGCAGCAACAAAATCCTAATGAAATATAAATGCAACAGTTCGTCAGTATGGATGGATCTTGGTACCTCTCACGTACAAACTACTGAACGGATTTGAATTAAAGAAATCGAGAGAGATGTTAGTCTGGAAAAACGCAAAGGATATTTTAACCCTGTTGTAGGGGGGCCGCTAGCAGAAGATAAAAACCAAAGAAAAAAAACACAAACATGGCATGTAATGTATGAAAATAGAGGATCACTGGCACGTCTTAATGGGTGCCAAGGAAAGAGTATTACAAAAGGAGTACCTTCATGAAATAGTAAACAAGTTAAAGAGATAATAACCATAACACCTCTTCTTTACGAGAGGATATCGCCGATAGAATCGAGCGGAACCTGGTAAAATTGTTACATGTAGACCAATTCATAAACCAAAAGCGATTTTAAATAAAGAACTATTTTAAAACGATTTAATTAGTAATCACACTGACATCACTTCCTATATCTATCCAGGAGAGTGCATAAAATAAAGCAATAATAAACAAGTAATATGCTTTCCATTTTTCCCAGTTATGGTATGGATATGACAGATGAACTGACATTGATACTGGTACTGAGAAGGACGAAATAAAAACCCAATTTCAACGGAATGTTTCATAAAAACTATATTTTTAAACAAAAAATAAATTAAACAAATGTTACAAGACAAAATTTGTGTTACACACTGATTTACAGGTCGGATCAACTGGAGTGAAATCACGGTCTCACAGGAAACCAGCGTGAAACAACCACAGCGTTGTGTGTTTCGCCGTGTGAGTGATGTTTTCAGAGGCCGAATCCTTCTTCCCCTCCCCAATTCCTCACCAATCCCTAAACCTATTGGAGATAAAGGATTCTCCTTTATCTCCAATAGGCAACCAATGGGCCGGTAACGTCCATGGGCGGTGCCATTTTCCCACCATCAGGTAATCTGTCCACTTGTTTGCCGTTCCATAATATAAAAAAATAGATTAGTTGGTAAGAATAACTGAGAATCAAAAATCTTTACACCAGAACAAAAACAGGTCGACCAGTTCTTGAATCGCAAAATAATTAAATTCAAATGTAATCATCGTGTTTTTCCAAACCTTCCCTCTAAATTCCAAACAAATGCATACGAAATTGGAACAAAATGAAAGTACTATTTACGATGTGTTAATAAATTCTTCCGCGTAAGTATTTTACTTGGGCCATACGAAGCTTCGTCGGAACGTAGTCTCAATTATTAAACAATGCAATCGTCTCGGACGGTACGGCCCTAGCTTTAATACTTGAATACCTAGTATTTGGGTCAGGGAACGTGGAATATATGCCGTATCGTGTTGGAATAGCGTTCAAATTATTTAGTGATATCTCGACATGAATTTCGGAACGCTAAGTGAATTCCGACGCACGTAACTGTTTGCTGATTTTCTTACCGTTTTTTTCTGCAGACGTTTTTCCTGTTGATTGTATTGTCTTTTGTTTTATAGAATTGGTCGCTTCGTTGGCGGGATCTTTTTGTATTTACATAATTATATGGTTTTGCATGACTTCGAACTTCATACCATAAAGTGTTAATTTAACTAACCTAATTTAATTTAACCATTTTAATGGTTTTAACCGAGTACATTTTAGGTACACAATGCGGAGTATTTTCTAAGTACCCACTACTTGGGAAGTATTTGGCAGTATGTTGATTGATTGATTGTTTTGTTATAAAATTGTTTAATGTTAAGTTTATGTATAATTATTGTGTGAGGCGAATAGAACAGTATTATAGTATCACACACAAACCCGAGAGGTTTAAGTGATGCTGAACCAGTTAAAACCTGTTAATATCAATTTTGATAATTAAAAAAAAAAAAAAAACTAGTGTAAAAACAAATCTAGTTTTGTGACTCCAATGATCTAGTTACTAAAACAATCACAAAAATTGTAGATAGCTATAAAGCTTTGAGTATATCTTAGCGAAAAAGCAAGCAATGTCACGTAGGTCAGTACGTATTCATGGTACGTTAAATTTTATGTTGTTCGAGCATGACTACCTGAGGTCCAATTGAGATCGTGATCTGTTTACTTACTATTCATTTCGTAACATTTCCTTCATCTATGGTGGGTATTTCCTTGTTCCACCTTTTTTCTGTCTTCTTTGAGGCCGCAATATGACTTATAAGTTTAATGCTTGAATGAGACCAAATATTGTTTTTTTGTCAAGGTACTGGTATCGATATCCGAAAGCTTAGTTAGGGAGATTTAAATTCGGTATAACTTTATTGTTTATTGAAAATAACGATTTAGTTACGTGAATTAATTGAAAAAAGTTGTAGTATCAAGTCACAATTCAAAGTCGACTCGAGTTGAACTGAGAGAGAGAAGTTTAATTCACGTGAGAAAGTCGTTACTTTCAATTGTGCGTTACGATAGTTACAATACAAAAATAAGTTTGTTGCACACTCATTGCTAAAGTTTTATCGCTTAATAGTCTTTTGAAGAAAGCTAAAAAACCGCTGCGAATAATAGTTATCATATTAGCTTATGACAAAAGACCAAACTAGTACGGATTTATTTTTTTAAAGAAAGATCATCTCGAGCATTTTTCTTGTATTGTAGGTGTGTTTATGTCACCGGAAAATAACAAGATCCGTAAGTTTATCAATTTACTAGGAAGTTTATAAACTTTCGTAAGATTCTAAACGGGAGATAAATTGTAATATTTTCGTCCACATTTTCGTAAATTTACGTAAAATATTACAATTTATTTGATAAACTTACGGATCTTGTTATTTTCCGGTGACATTTACAAACATAAAATTTAACAAACACATCACAACGAGACCAAAGAGAGAGGGTTTTGATCGCCTTTTTTCACGAGTTTTTTAGTTACTTTTATATGAAGTTATATTTATTACCTAAATTAAATATTATGGAAAACATATAGTTTTAATTCCGCTACAAAGGATTTCATGGTTTTCCGCAAAGTAATGCCTGGTTCAATAAATTATTACCTAAAGTTTTTTAGGTAGTGGTTGATGGTTAAACCTTCTCCGTTTGAGAAGAGGCCTCTGCACAGAAGTAAGCACTTATAAGCTGACGATGATGAAAGTTTTCAAACATTTAAGAACTGTACTATGCATACATACTTGTAATCTTTAATAAAGTTTCGATCGATTAACTTTTTGTTTGCATTGAATTGTATTGAAACTAGAAACCACGACTAAATTCATAATACAAGATACGAAGAATAAAAAAAGTAATTCGTATGGTTTAAAAATAGTGGCTCCAGGTACGCGAGTACCTGGGCTAGTCTTAATTGGAGTGCGCTTAGTTCACGAGCCCTCCGTGTGAACAGCTGTTCTTGACAATCTTACGGTTTCTGTACTCATTGTGGCACTGTTGAGCGTTTACGTTTTAGTTTAGTTTTTTTGTTTGATGTCACTTCTTCCTATTATATGTATTATGACTTATCGAGGTTTTATATGCGTTTAGTTGTGTTGTGTCGTGGTTACGGTTACAAATATACAAATCACGCAGACCCGAAACAACAATTTTTGAATCACACAAAATGTTGTTTCGTGAGGGAATCAAACCGGTAACACGTTCCACACACGGGTTCCACAGCAGCCAGTTGCCGCTACGCCAACCATGCAGGCGAAAAAAAATTTTGTTTCTAAAGTTTTCGTGAAAAAGACTTATTAGATATTGACAAGAAATGAAATATTTTCTCATTTGTTTTAAAAAATTGTTTCAAGATGGTCGTCAAGATCTATTTTTTGACAATAGATAATACTTATATGTCTTATATTGCTAAGAGAGCATATCCCTGTTCTTATTTGTAAATTCTAAAAGGAAGTTTGTTTGCGTTTTTGGTTGACCAAACAGTTTACAATTGAATTTCCAATTTGAATAGATTTTAGGGTCCTATGCCTTCCTACAGCAATAGCACTCATTTACTAAGGAATACTTAGATTCGTAGTGCCCGGAGGTAATGCGCCTGCTTATTATGCATAAAGTTGCGGGTGTGAAACCTGGCGAATACCAATATGATTTTATCTAAGTTATAATGCACTTTTGAACGCTACTTAGCTATCACTGATAAAGTGTAAAAGAAAACGCCGTGCGAAGACATGGACTTATATGTTTTGATTATAAGCTAGAAATCGACGATCCATTTGCTATTATTTACGATAGATAAAATTAAGTTTAAATATTCCTTATTTTTTCACACATAAAACACAATTTTATCACTTAATACTACCATTGTTTCTCACACAATTCCACATACACTCCGAGACTAAGTCCATATCTTTTATAGACGCTCAATCTTTGCACAATATAGTACTTTCCGCACAAAAGATAACAAATTGTGCTTTTAACGGGCGCCTTCGTAATGGTGCTGAGCACTTTTGTTTGGAGATGTGGTCGTGAGTTAGTGCGTTTCATCAGGTCAGTGATGCGTGAGTGATGCGAGGTGATAAGCTAGCAAATAGTAGGGGTTAGTGTAAGGAAATGGGTTTAGTAAATAGTGGTACTTAATATTTGTGAGAGTTGGTGATTTTTTTAGTATATATGTATACAAAAGAAAGTAGTTTTATGACGTCATATTTTTGTCCCATCTACTTGCATCGGTCTAAAGCGGATGGGATTTGGGCATCTTACAAGAAATTGTTCCGTTAAAATATTCATTTACTTTCGACTTATATTATCATACTTAGTTTTAATTCAAAAC